AATCACAGAACATGCCGAGCTGGAAGGAACCCACAAGGATCATCGAGCCCAAGCCTCAGCCCTGCACGGAACACCCCAAAAATCCCACCCGGTGCCCGAGAGCATCATCCAAACGCTCCCTGAGCTCTGCCAGCCTTGGCGCTGTGCCCACTGGCATCCAGTTGGTACCCAGTGCCCGACCACCCCCCTGGATAAGCAATCTCTCCCTCTTATCCAACCCAACCCTCCCCTGACTCAGCTTCACGCCGGCCAAGCGCAAAGAGGAGAATTTCCCCTCTCCCTTCTCCCTCCCACTCCCCGGGGCTCCCTTCGCCCCTCGCCTTCCCCTCCCGCCTCCCGCCGCCGCCTGCCGAAGCGCCACCCCCGGGGCAGAGCGGCGGGGGGCCACGAGAAGCCCCCCTCGGCGCCCCTCACCGCTGCTCGGCCATCACGATCCCGTCGAACATGTCGGCCATGGCGGGCGCGGGGCACGCCGGGAACGACGGCGCGCGGCAGGGTCGGGAAAGGCTGGGATCGCCCCGCCGCGAGGGGGCGTGGCCTGCGGACGACGACCACGCCCCTCCCCTCCCCTCGCCGGGCTGGCCACGCCCCCTCTCCCCGGGCCTGTGACGGGCCGTGCCCGCCAGGGGGCGCCCGCGCGCCGCCGGTGCCCGGGCCGTGCCCTCAGGGAGAGCGGCGGTGTCCGCCCGGGAGCGGAGGGGATAAAGGAGCGGTGACAGCGAAACGAGCCTGGTTTTGGTCTTTACACACACCTCGCTCCTTCCCCCCTCACTCCGGAGTTGTAATACCGGGAAGAATTTATCACAGTCGCTGAGCTGGAAGGGGACCCACGAGGATCGTCGAGTCCCGACTCCTTGGCCCCGCACGGGACCATCCCCAAAAGCTACAGTCAAATATTAGATTATATATTTGTGCCAGTCGTTCAGTTTATACGCCCAATTTTCGTTTAGCTGTTTAATAACCAGTATTCTCTCATTACTCGGTGTCACATGCCAGTCTTTGGCACTGGCAGGGAAGAAGTAGCCTTTAATCACTGCGGACGTGGAAACTGCGCATCCCGGGATGCTGGCACAGCACAGCAGAGCAGTCCAGTTGTCAAACGTGATGGTGGGGGTGAAACGTGGAAGTAATAGGCATTTGCAAACCCAAGCACAGGGGTAATGATCACAGTATGTACGTAGACAAAAACATGATGTCTAAGGCAAGTGCCCTATGTAAGGACACACTCATTTCAGAAGTGAACTCACAACTGACCACCCCGACCGCTCTCCAGCTTAGAGCCATGTGGTTACACAGAGGGGGGATAGAGCTTCCATTGGACAGGTTTTTATTTACACAGATCAGTGAGCAAATCCAGACTATTCCCTGTATTTATTACCTTGGGGTCTCTTCAGGTGAAAGCACAGCACCACACGGACTGTTTTGAGGTGTGCAGGCATCTGTAGTTCTGCCCCATTCCCAAGAGTGTTGTCCAAATGCTTCCTTAGCTCTGTCAGGCTCGGTGCTGTGCCCACTGCCCTGGGGAGCCTGTTCCAGTGTCCGACCACCCTTTCCCTGATATCCAACCTAAACCTCCCCTGGCACAACTTCAAGCCATTCCCTCCAGTCCCATCACGTGTCACAGAATGATGGAACATGCACATCTCTCTCACAGCATATTGATATCTCTGATTTTTGTCTATTTTTGATGCCTGAAATTCCTCTCTGTGAGGGCAGGGAGGTGCTGGCACAGGTTGCCCAGCAAAGAAGTGCCACAGCCCTCAACTTCAGGTGCAAGCTTTGACATCACTTTGCAGTAACACTGCCCAGCTTTAGTGACCACAGATGACCCAAACATGGCTGAGAAACTTCATTTGAGAACCTTCTGCTGCCATTAAGCTGTGGCCCAGAGGAGCTGTGGCTGCCCCATCCCTGGAAGTGTTCAGGTTAGACAGGGCTTGGAGCAACCTGGTCTAGTGGAAGATGTCCCTGCCCATGGAAGAGGGGCTGGACTGAGATGATAATTCAGTTCCCTTCCAATCCAATCTATGATTCTAAAATGTAAATATTTTTTTTTATAAATACCCAACCCAAACTGCAGTGTGCCATTCCAGGCTGCTCTGTTACATCTCTTATTTATTATTACAGATCAACACTGGTCAAAGGAAACACTTATAGCTATCTATAAATATATATTTTAACGCTGATTTATGTTGTTGTTTTCAAAATACTTAATGAAAATGTGGCTCTGGGCACACCACAGTATTCTGCCAGTCTGTCGGAGTCTGTTCTCTTCCAAATCAGACACAGGAGGGCAGAGGACTTGAAAAGTCAACTTCAAAATCCAGAGATCAATATAAAACCTCCCCAGAACTGCATCAGAGTGAAAATAAAGTCATGCTACTAAAGGTTTAGCTAAGCAGGTACAGAAATCACAGTTCATTAAAAGTTCTTCATCACAGCAGGCAACGCTGATTTATAAAGAGCAGCTGTCCAGCTTGTTTTTGGCATTGAAGTGTAGATGTGACTGGATCTCACACGAAATCACTGAAGGTTTGCCAGGTGTGAACACCAACCTGCTCTACAACCAGACATTCACATACTGGTCACTGATGGCAGTGGAAATATAAGATGTTCTTGAGGATTTCCTCTTAGCTAACTGCTACAATTTAAATGTTGCTTTGGAAATTAATGAAAAATATCAATTCTTTGATCTTGGTACATTGTGGGACTGATGAAAAACACTGAAAATATAACAATGTCCTGGCAAGAAGACTGCAAGACACCAGCCTCATTTGGGGGCATCCTTACATGCCTTAAGTGATCAGTCTCATCCAACACAGCTCCTGATAAACTTGCTGTGTCCCCAAACTGCCACAAATTCACCCCGAAATCAGAATCCTAATGATGCCCTTTTTGCACTTCCATTCACTTCCAAGGGAAATGTGTTTCTGCTTTCACTGTTGCTCGAGGAGGGTTGGTTTATGTATATCTTTGAGGAAAGAGAGAACACTGATTTAATTTATCATGTTGCACTCCAATCTGTACACTGGCAGAGTAGACAGAGTGGCCCCAAATTTTCCACCAACAGGATTTCAGCGCTTTGAGCAGAGGTAAAGTGGACGTTGTGACTCTTGAATAAAGGATTTATAGGTTTTTTTACACTCCCTCCAAGTGGAAATGAAGATGCCCGGTATCTCCTTCCCTACAGCCTTCCCACTGCTCTAACAACTCGTATTTGCACATCATAGCTTCCAGCTGAGACTTCACAAGGAGACATTTGACACCTGACCTTTAAAAAAAACCCTTTAGGGCTGTAAAATGTACTGTTGCAAATGAAAGCACCGCAGTTGTCCTACTGTCTTTGAGAGACTGTGATCGACCAGGACCTACACTGGAACGGTGGTGGTGGTGTTTACATTCCCACAGATCCAAAGGCAGTGGTTTGTTTGGAGGTTTTGCACACCGAGTTCCTGACCCAGTCAGGTGTCAGATGGCAGGGAAAGCATTTTCCAGCAATCCTCCCACCTCAGGCTGTGATCCTGTCAGATTTTATAAGCAAAGCAGCCAGGTTTGGTCACAGCTTGGATGGGAAAACTCCAAGGAAAGCCGAAGTGCTCCAGGAAGTGGTGTGGGTAATTCAGCCCTTGGCATTCTTCCCTCTGTCTGAATAAATATTGAACCAACCATGCTGTTGTAGTGAGAAACACTGTGCTGCTGGTGGAAGATGTTAAGCCAAAGGTGTCAGCAAATAGTCACCAGAGAGCTCAAGATGCTGTTTGCAAACTGAAGGTTGTTTGTCTTTGCACCCTTGAGCAATATTCACAATGTTATATCTACTTAAGAATCTCTCACTGGTGAAATTATACAGTATATCCTCTGAATTCCTTTATTTCCCATCAAATCTGTGCAATTTTTTTTTTTAGCAGAATAATAAAAGTGGAATTTTTTGTTCACCAAACTTTATAAGTTCATAAATACTTTATTTTGTTTTCTGGGGTTTTTCTTTTTTCTTTTTCTTTTTTTTTTTTTCAAAAAAAAAAAGGCTTGAAAGGTATCTAATGTTCAACCAAAACTGGAAATGAAACACAGAAAACCAGAATGCCCCAAATCTGAAAACTTTTGGGACAAAACAACTGAAAACCAGGGGTAGGTCTCCCGATATATGAGGAGTGGGAACCATCCGGATGTGCGGCAGTGGCTCAGCAAAAAGGGGAATGGGAAACACCATGGGAGATGTTTGCCAGCCAGGAAACCTGCAGTTCCTGTGACTCACAGCATCTCCAAACAGAAGCATTCAGTCTCTTTTCCTGCCAGAAACCAACACCTTTTTCAGGCAAAAATAACCAGTTTTCTCCCCGTTTGCACTGGTGAGTGCTGTTCCCAGTTTTAAGAGGGAGCAGCCTTCCATCCACGGGATTTTTTGGACAAGCACTGAAACAGGCTGCTCGTGGAAGTGGTTGAGTCCCCATCCCTGGAGGAATTTAAAAGACCTGTTGATGTGGCACTCGGGGACGTGGTTCAGTGGTGGCCTTGGCAGTGCTGCCTAACTTTGGGAAAACCCTTTTGCCTCTCCATGCCCTTGTCTCTTGTGCCTCAAGCACCTTCCCAAGGGATTCCAGCTTCACGTGGCTGCTGCAAAGAACAGACACCACAGTTTGCTGAAGCTCTTTGAAGTCTCTAGACCGAGGGGATGACAAAAGAGTCAGCGAGATTTCAGTGCAGAAGATGATTTTCTTTTTTTTTTTTTTATTGCAAATGTACACAATACAGCTACTGATAATGCACAGAAATTTAAAAAGCTACCGTCTGCTAAAATTTCATGATTACCAAACTTCACGAGATTTGTTACGACTAAAAAACTCACTTTCAGGAGTATATAAATAGAATCTTGAGCATAAATAACAGTAACAAAATAAACAGACGTATGAATTCAATAAATTAATTATAAATATTGCATTGGCAATGAAGTGCTAGGTCAGAAGAACACCAGTATTTCCAGTAGAGCTCTTTTTTTTTTCCTACAGAAATCTCTAATAAATGAACCTTTGGAAAGAAGGAACCTTTGGAAACATCTTCTAACTTTTTGGGGCTTTTTCTTTGGTTTCACCCTAGTCATTCCTTCATCTCAAAGGGAGAACAGAACTGAAGACATCAGACATCCGTGTCTTGGCCATGAGATATCCAGAACCCATTCCTGCAGTTTCATGGCAGACTCAGCTCTGCAGCACTTAAGTCACTAAACTGTCCCTCCACAGATTCCCAGGGATGCTCAATCAAGCCTGGAAGTGACTTGAAAGGATTGGTGATAGCTAAAGGTTAAGCACAAAAACCTATTTTGCAGTTGATTTGACCTATACATTCTCCTTCTCCAGTGTTCTTCTCCGTTTGCTAACGACATACATGCTTATATACAACAGAATCTTAATTTAAACACTAATTTGAACTGCTCATTCCCTACCTGATGAACGTAAATGTTAGTTCTGTGCACTCTTCCATCCAGCCACACATTAAATTCTCACTAATTTTAATGAGAACTCTCTGCTGGATGATGCTGATGACACAGAGAACTTAAATTAGCCTACAAAAGAAATCAAAGATTGAGTTTTCCGAACTACCCTTTAGCAATAAGGGAAGGAAGAAATTTTTCCCCTTTCTTCCCTTATTTCCTAAGGGAAGAAAAAGCACAATATACAAGCAGATTTGGTTTTTTTTTTTTTTCAGGAGTATGCTTTCAATAGAAAGTTTTTCCCAGAATGCTGTCAGCAGCCTTTCAAGAAACACCATAAATTCCAGTTCATGTAATTGCATCTGCTAGGTTTTCCTTAATTGAGTTTTGTTCCAAATGTTTGTCTTTAAGGTCTCTGAGGAGGAAAAAGTTTTCTGCATTTGCTCCTATGAGCAGAAATAACAGGGGAACATATGTGGAAATGAAGTTGCTGTAGAAAAATTACAGTTATTTTATCATCACCGTGGTAATAGAGGAATTCTGGTGAAGCTGCTAAGCTTTTCCCCTTTAACCCTTCTTTTCCAAACAAAACTATGGTTAGGCAATTCTTTAGGCTACAGAACAGCCTCTTGGCACTCATCTCTCACAGGTACAGCACATTGCAAGGAAAAGGCTGGCCCCGTACAAAAAAGTTCCAAATATTACTACGTGAAACGCTAAAAAAAGTACTCTGCAAACATTTCTGTAAAAACCTGCGTGTGATCAGAGTCATTTCTGAAAGCTCGGGCTCTTCACAGGGGACAGTTTGGAGCTGATGCCAAAGGGGTCCATGCTGTCCGTTTCCAGAGGCGAGGAATACACCTCCGGCTCAAAGGCCTGGCTGTAATCCCCGTATTCCCCAAAGTCTGTGGACTCCATGGGCACAGTGTTGATCATCGGTAAGAAATGAGACAGCGGGAGAAAATCTTTTCCCTTGAACTGTTGTCTTTGCTTGGCGCTACTCAAGGACACCGATATTCCGTATTTTTTGGACCTGTACACGTTGTAGCCGTCTGGGCGGATCTCCTCCTCAAAGGAACAGTCCTCAGTGGAATACCTGAGCTGAACAGCAAGGAGTAAAGAGGATTACAAATACGCCCACCAGACTCATTGCACTCAACCACAATATGAATTTTTGGTGCAGCCTCTGCTCTCAGAGGGAGCGTCCCTCTGGCTTGTCCCAGATTGGTGCACCTTGCAGGCCCCACTGGGTCCATGCTGGTGAGCTGATATCTGCATGGTCCTTTCAACCTAAATATTCCATTCTATCCTATTCTGTTCTATTCTATTCCACTAGAGATCCCCACTTTGCACATACAACGCAGTTTGAGTGACAAGAGCAATTAAAAGACCTAATCCGGAACTCCTGAAGTTATTGCACGTCCATCACATTAAATAAGCCATGAATCCTGGATGTGTGCTTCTCCACAAATACCACACTTAACCTGTCCTGAGCACTAGGAAGAAGAATCTCAGGAGCACTAGGAAGAAGAATCTCAGGTTAACTACTCTCTAGATTAACTGTCCTTAATCGCTGACGGTATTTAACTGCAATCATGAGACCTAATCCAACAATCCTGGGGTATAGAACTCCAGCTCTGTTACAGATTTGCCTGTGCAAGGGTTTCAGGATCAGGTCTGTAGAAAGGCAGCGTGGCCAGTCAATAAAACAATGCTAAAAGGTGATTGGCCTTTTTTTTTTTTTTTCACTCAGAATTTACTGCAATTACAAAAGACCCATTTACAAAGTGTTATTTTGGCATTACAGCGAGAACTGTCAGATTAACAGCAGCACGAGTTAAGATTTTGTGCAGAAGAATGTATTTTCTTAGGCATGAATTTGTAGAATTACGTTTGCAATAGCCTGTGCAGATATTATATATCTGTAATACATATATATAAATAAGATATAGTAAACGTGTATCAGGATTTTGTATCAGCAGGTCAGACCTCTCCAGATCCTTACACAAGCACTGCATTTCTTACAGCTCTGGTGCTATTTCAGGGTCAGCCACTGCAGGTGATTGAACTTGTGGTCAATAAAAGAGAATTGCTGATTATGTCTGTCTGCAGTGATAGAAGTGTCCTTACATGAATGTTCTGTCTGTCTGAATAGACAGCATGTTTTATACTTTCAGGTCTTTCTCAAATTCCCTCAGGAGTACAAGTAAGCACGTGCATTTGGTTGTCTTTTAAAAGCATTCTTCAAACAAATTGACTAATTTTGAAAAATATGTTTTCTCCAAATACGATTACGCAATGTTTATCCTTCTATCTTAGAAATTGTACATTATATCTTAGAAATGTGTGTATACAACCCAGATTTATGGCTGAATTGGTAGCTGCCTTTATTTCTGTGAGTGCTCAGCCTCACTGACAAGGATGATGAAATAAAAGAGCTTCTTGCTCAAGAAGTGCACATTACAGACAACAGATATTGATTGAGCCCCCATGTCTCAACTATGTAATTCCCTCCTCATTTCATTGCCATTGTCTCTAGTGTATTTCTTAAACAAGTACCAAACACACTTTAAGTAATTCCAGATCTTTTTTTTTTTTTTACAGCAGGCTTTTATAGAATGTCGGTATATTCAGCAGGTACACCATTTCCCCTAAACTGACTGACTGCAGCACGAAGCATGCTCAAAAAAATCAACCCTAGTCATCAGTTTTCCAGTCTTCAAAAAGGGCATGTTTCAGGAGTGCAGGTTCAGTCCCCAGACACCGAGTCTGCCCTTTCGTTCTTCCACTCCTGAGCTGATAAGAAAAAGAATTGCCTGCAGAGCTGCCCGGCTGGGCTGTGAGCACAGAGGTGACAGCAGGTGTCCACAACATATAGATGTGACAGCATGGCTGTGTGCTGCTGTACTTTCAGGAAAAAAAACCCAAACCCGACCTGCATTTAATACTCTTACACCACAAAAAGCACTTTCAGTCGAGGTATAATATATGCCTTCCAAAGGGTGTTATAGGAAAGCTATTTTAAAAATCCTATGTTTACTAAAGTCCAGCTGCAGCTCCAATGGGAGCAGGACCCAGGCTCTGCTTTGTTTTCATGGAATATTTTGTTTTGGATATACATTAAAACATTAAGCTAATAATTGACCTACCATATCATCTGAACCCGTGCACCTTATCACAAAATCGATTGATTTGAGCCTCAGAAAAGCAAGGAAATTAAGGAAGAAAAGCTCGATTCTATGTTATATCCACATCCAAAAACATCAGTATTGCTCTTATTAAAGATACTGCAGGTTTTGAGAATGGGCCAAGTCCTTGCCTGATGGAAATCAGCAGAAATTTTGCTGGAGTGATCAAAGCAGAATCAAGCTGTATCTTTACCGTGGCACGATGAAAAGCCATTGCTCTCTGAAACTCCAGCTTCTGTACAGACCGAACGTGAACCTTAACCTTCAAATTCTAGAGTTGGCAACGTACCCACGTGCCTTTAAAAACGAGTTTATATCCATGGCTGGCTGATATACTTAGTGACAAAGCATGACCTGTGGTGTCAGTGGGTCACTTAACCCCTCCACCTCTTGGAGCCCCACAGGTGCGGTGTTGCAGCAGGGCAGAAACGAGGCGGTGCCAAAGCATCCCTTTCCCCTCTCGAAATCCTTTTTCGCTTTGGAGCTACCTAAGCTATGGCAAGTCCGTGCTCCCGGGGCTCGTATGCCTGGCAGCCAGCTGCCAAAGGAGTAATCCTGGGGTTTTTTTCGGAAAAGCTGACCTGAACAGCGAGAAATTATTTCTGTTCCATGGCACTTCATCTATTTCTGCAGCGGAATCTCAGCCTCCCACTGATGAGGCTTTTTAAACCTAAACACAGTTTTTCCCCTGGGCTGTGTTTTCGGTATATTTTGGCGGGGGGACATGCAAAACTTTACTTTCTGCGTGATGTTTCCTTGCTGCCTTCTAATAACCCTCACAGTGAGAAGAATCACCGGTCCTACGGAGAAAAGGTGGATAAGGGGAGAGGCGGCGGGAGGAGGAGGGGGGGGGGTGATGGACACCTGAAAGCTTTGTCGACTCATTATTAACTGCAAAAAGCACGCGATGCCTTCGGCCTCGCCGGCTGTTTCAGGGTGGAAATCCCCCCGGGGAGAGGAGACTTGCGAGAAAGGCGCTCACCTGCCCGTGCAGCCGCCCCGTCTCGTCCATGCAGAGGTACCGGGAGCTCCGCACGCCCTTGATGGCCACGGTGCGCACGGCCACGGCGCGGATCTCCAGCAGACCTGGCGAGAGAGGCACAGCGGCGTTAACCCCGCGGAGCCCCGTCCCGTCCCGTCCCGTCCCATCCCCATTCCCGGTACTCACTCTGCGGGCTCTGGCTCCCGGCCGCATCCACCCTGCCGTCGCCGCCGATGCGGAGGAAGCAGCTGAAGAGCCCGTGCTTGCTGGCGGTGTAGAGGTGCCGCAGCCGGATGGGTTCCCCCCAGCCGTAGTTGACGTGCGGGCCGGCGTCGGGCAGCGGCAGCGGCACCGCGGCACAGGCGGCGGCGAGACCCAGCAGCGCCAGGGCGGCGGGGGGAGAGCCCATCCCGGGGGGCGAGCGGGGAACGGGGCCGCGGGCGTGGGCAGGGAGCGATGGTGATGGGAACGGCGAGACGGTGATGGTGGGCTCGGAGAGCCGGGGATGGTGGGCACGGAGCGGCGGGGATGGTGGGCTCGGAGAGCCGGGGATGCTGGGCACGGAGCGGCGGGGATGGAGCGGAGTCCCGGCGCTGCTGCGCTGGCCGCGCCTCGGGGCTGTAGCGTGGGCGAAGCCGCCCCCTCTGGGCCTTTTATAGCTCTCCCGTTATCAGCCCGATCGATCCGGCCGCGTCCAATATAGAGCCCATTTCATAGCGGATCGGTCACTCCCCCCGAAAATATTGATCGGGTGACATCACGTCGCAGGGGGGACACCCTGAAGTCGCTTCCTCGCCGCCCGCCCCTCCGGGCTTTCCGCTCCTTCGAGGCTCTCCGGCCGCGCATCTCCCCGTCAGGCCGGGGCCGGACCTGGACCTCGCGGTCTCGGCTGCAGGTCCCGCAGCCCCTGCCCTGATGTGGGCGCCGGGAAGGGGTCCGGGGGTGGGTGGGCGTGTGTAACATCCCAGCCCACCCAGCGGCGACGGGGGCCAGCCCGGGGTGAGTCTGCTCCGCTCCCCGCCGCGGCTCAACCCCTGCCTTCGCCCTTGCCCGTCCTGTATTTCCCCTTTTAGAAATAAAAGAGCTGTTTCCTAAACCCTTGGGGCCACTTCTTCGGGCAGGGGACGAGCGCTGGGGGAGCGGGACCGCCGCTCCCCGTGACCAGCAGCCGGCGGGGCACAGCCTGGTACGGCCAGGTAGGGCCTGGTACGGCCCTGCACGGCTTGGTACGGCCAGGTACGGGCGGCTCTGGGTGTCCCGGAGCTGCTCTGGGCTGTATTGCCGCCCGGCCATCCCTGGATGTGTCACTAGATGGAGCCTGGCCCCTGGGATGCGGCTGCCTCGCCTCGGGGGAGCCGCTGCCCGAGGGGCTCTCCAGCTCCTATTCGTCCCCACTTCCACAAAGAGACTGGGGAAAAAAGCCACCCCTGTGTGTAGTAAAACTGCATCGCCCGTTCTAAGCTTCAAAGAGGTTTTTTTTTCCTGTCCGCGGATCTTTTTCCACGCGGGCTTCTCCCACCGAGTGCCCCAGGAGAGATGGAAGAAGCAAACACACACATTTTGGGGGTTTCCACCCCTTTTTGCATCCCAGGGAAGTTTAAGGGGATTGCTGCTGGCTTTTCTGCTGTCCATCCAAACTCAGCATTAAAGGAATTTTCTCGGATCTCCAAAGAGAAAATGAGTAATTTCATAAAGACAAAACAAAATCCTTGCCCCACCAGACACATTAAATAACAATTCAGCAAGGCATAACCCCATGTCCCCAGCAACTTCCCTGAAACAACGAAGTTTCATTCAGCTTCCACAGACTGTTTTTATATTTTGCTACTTGTTCATTTTCAATCTTTTGTCCCTACACTTGCATCTCCTGTAAACACTCACACAAATAGCTTTTCCTGATGAGCAGCCTTAGCTCAGTGAGGATGTGCACAGAGACAACATCATGCAAAAAAACCAGAGGCTTGCAGGATGATGTCTTGCACTTATCATCATGTGCAGCTTAAGATGTATTTAACTGAAGTTAAGTACACTGATCAATCAGAGTTTGAATGATCAGGGTCTTGCATCACAAACTCACTGGAACAAGGGATTGTATCTCACCAATCATTTCAAAAGCAACTGCTGCTTTTGATAAGCTTTGGGTGGTTTTGATGGTCAGCTTGACACACCCAAAAAGAAGCCCAGTTTTCTCTGCATGGTTGAGGAATAACTAGTAAAGATCAGGACCACTTCTCTTTCAGGTGTCTCCTGCTGCATCCTCCAAGTCCTGGGCTGATTTGAGAAATTCGGGCCTTTTATACATCACAGAAGTTCACAATATTATAAGCCCAGTAAATAATACTAAGTCATCCAAGTCCCTAATTCTTTTTTTTCCTCTACAGAATTCTGCAATGTTATTACATGACTGCTACAAAGGCAGTTACTGCCCTGCCACCCTGGGCCCCACAGCAGTTGTGCATGTAACTCATCCTGACTACACAGGCATTCTTCAAGGTATCCAGCACCCACCACACACAGAGGTTATGGTCTGAAATGAATCTGAAAGGCTTTTTTATTTCATTTTGCTGTGCATCTCAGTGAATAGAAGCTGTTTTATGATTATTACTTCTGCTATACTACAGGGTGATTAATAATCATAAGTTTTCATTTTCTTCTTCAAGAAAAACTTCTTTCATGCAGCAAGGAGTTGATGCTTGAAACTTGTTTATTCACCTCTGTGAAGATCAAAAACTGAGGTAGGAAGGACAAATCACTTGCACTAAATGATATTTCAAATCAGTGAAAGAGCTGGCTATAAAGGAGAATTTCCCCATGATTGATGGAGAGCTTTTAAAAATCAGTTTCATTGTTGCTGTTGTGATGTTACACGGACTGATGTCTAAAGGTTCATGTGTAATCAAACTAAAATGAAAATGGAGCACTTAACCATTTTTTTTGGAATTGCCTCTCTTATTAGAGTAAGGTTTCAATCTAAATATGTTGTCCAAGCTCCTCTGTAGACCCTGACAGAGGTAAGTGCCTGCAAGCATTTAACTGGGCCAAACCATACTGTTCCTATCACAAAATAGCTGCTGAAGAGATATGGGTCAAATATGCTCTAGAAATGTTCATTTCTTTATTGCCTCTGTAAAAAAAAGCCTGGATTATTAACTCAGATTCAGTACCTTGTTTTTAGCTAGAGATAAATGGGCTAATGAATGTCCCTGTTTTCAAAAAACAAGAATTGCAACATGTGATTTTCATGTCAGTTCCTGTGTGTCACTGAACTTTATCATTTATTGGCATCTTTTACCAAAGTTCAATAAAAAGACATGTCTTTGCATGTTCCTATGAATGTATATGCAGAAAAACAATGTATTTGCAAAACAAATTTATTATGGGGTAAATCACACCATCACTTCCAGTGCTGGACCTGCTCCCTATAGAAACAGAGCCTGCAGCAAGGAAACCTGGCAGTTTAGGACTCTCTGCTTTTGTGTGGATAGGAAAAACAACCAAAAACCCAGAGGAAAGTCCTACAGATCAAAAATACCTCCTGACCAAAGAGTACACAATTGCAAAAGCATTTTCACCTGTTGTAATGAATCATTTATTTCCACTGCACTTTTCAATGCCCCAGTGTAATATCTGTAGAACAGAAA